CCATAGTGAGTATCAATACTAATAGGCTTAATTCATTTCTGTCAGGTAATTCTGTTGTATTTTCACTACTATAAATATCAAGATGTGTAAAATTATGATTATATCTTGTAAATGTTGTGAAAGTGTTTCGTAATGAAAATTGACCAATGATATGGAGTGAAGTTGAGGATAATGAACAGAATTAAGAACACGTTCTATAGAAAATGGTTCCAGAGTGAGTTTATTAACTTTATGATTAATTTAAGGTAAAATTTTGGTATAAATTCTATCAAGAAGTTGATTATCTACCGATGAGTTACGATCAAACAATGATTTGATCACAAAATCGAGATGATGAATGTAGAGAGACTCGAGTGCTAAATGATCAAATCGCTGATGTACATCCACCAATGAATAAAATACGTCAATCATATATAATTTGTTGAAAATGGCACGTAACATCTCATCTGGCAAATCGAGTATATTAATATTGTTGTTACTTACAATATGCATCCTTAACAATAAATCTATTCTCTTCAACTGTACTCTTTTTCTTTTTGTCTCTCTCTCTCAATATATATAATATCTTGATGTTCTCATTGCCGTCAATGAGAATGAAATTCATTTAGATAAGTTAGACGTTGATGAATGTCTGTTTTTTTTTCTTTTTGCCTTAAAATTTTTTTTCATTCATAACGAACACTGTAAAAAGAAAAAAAAGCAACACAATTCATCTGCTGAAATAAGACAGTTTAACGTAGCTGCCGATTGATGAAGACATATATAAGTCTTTAGATTACACACACACCTTATTTTCACGCAATATTGTGCGATCCAATGTATATGATGGGTGTGTGTAAATATGATCGATCATGATAGGAAAATATTTATTGTTGGTTTTATTCAAATTTTTAATATCTTTTAGAATATGATTCAATCTATGTAAAACATTTCAGTGATAAGTGAGATGGATGTTGTTTATTCTATAAAGTAGATCGATTAAAATTAATTTCTAGTGAAATGATACCATTCTATCAAACGAATATTCAATTAGATTTATAGATTATCATTTACTAGTTAAATTCATACACTAGATGAAAAACTTTTTATCAAATATCCGTCATTGTCAAAGATTGTTTGATGTTATGCGAAAGAAGAAAAAGAAGTTAATAAAACATTAATAGAGCCTATTTCTTTGACTTATAGGACAACGAAATTTGTGACCTAATATCTCATGGATCTAAATACTATTAGGATTTTTGATTTCATGCTATCAGACAGTTAAATATTCTCATTAAATTTCCGAAGAGATAAATACAAATATCCTATCATTTTTTTGTAAAAATTAAATAACAATTCAAGTTTCGATTTAATTAATAGACAGAATATTAATCTATCTGTATAATTTTTTTTTAAAGAAACAATTGTGATTTAATCATTCTTTTTAAACAATTATCATCACATTCTACATCAGAGAGTGGGTGTCGGTATGACTATGGCTTTAGTGTAGTGAGTCGGATAGTGTGTCTCTTCTCTCAACCCGCACCCCAATTTTACCGAGTGGTACGATCTTCCTCACTGCTAACGTTATGATCTTGATATGTTTGATGAGTTTTTTGATCGATTCATGGTTACCAACAATCCAGTGTTCAACTTGGGAACATGATGTCCCTGCTTCCGATAGTTAACTAAAAGCAGTACTTAACAATTTTGTTAAACTTTCCAATGCTTCATAGTTTTATTGGTTCATGAGAGTTATATTTCCACGAAGGTTTTTATGTAGGCGTAGGTAATGAATCTTAAATTCACGGATATGTTTTTACAAGGTTTGTATCTGAATAAAATGGTTGTTGTTCAGTTTCCTAAACATGAAACTGAATCAATTCTTATAAGTCCAATCTCACATGTCTCTATTAAACAAAAATAATATTTTTTCATATAAATGATAATTGCAACTTGTAGATGTTTTTCCTGCACTGTACTAGTAATGATCCAAACTGATTAGACTAGCTAGTATACTGACGTGAATAATTCTTAACTTTTTGCACATAATATTCTTCAAACAGAATGGCTGATATGGGTGTGCATATGGTTTCTCTATACGTGGTTAAAGTTAGCACCGGATTCGAGTTTTTGCTGCCCGAATTCGTTCGTATACTTGAGTTATATTTGGTTCAACTTGAGATAGGTGCAGAATTTTACGGCGATTCCGATGGTGTAAAGATCAAGGGAAGTCATTGAGCAAAAACTGGCACTTGACCCCGAAATACTGAATTTTTCAAAATTTTTTGAAAAGTATTTGCTGTCTGGATTCGCTATTTTACTTGAGTTGGGTCTCAAAATGGTTGAGTTGGATTCAGCATGAAATTCTGCATCGAATGATATCGATTTAGTATGGGATCATCGGGCAAAAAATGTTTCATATGGTGAGGGTGAAGGTCACCATGAAGAGGTGTAGCTGCGTGAGGTGAAAAAATTTTCCTCAATGATCCCATACTAAATCGATATCATTCGATGCAGAATTTCATCCTGAATCCAACTCAATCATTTTTAGATCCAACCCATGTAAAATAGCACATCCAGACAGAAAATACTTTTAAAAAAATTCAGTATTTCGGGGTCAAGTGCCAGTTTTTTCTTGATGACCTTCCTTGATCTTTACACCATCGGATTCGCTGTAAAATTCTGCACCTATCTCAGATTGAACCAAATATAGCTCAAGTACACGAACGAATTCAGACGGCAAAAACTCGAATCTGGTGTTAACTTTACCTACGTGATGTAACAATCGAATGACAATCAAATATTAGTTGAAATAACTAATGATTATTTCACTCTATGGATACAATACAAATTATATGACATATATGCATGTGTGCGACTAAAAAACTTCCATACATTCTACAATTCAACAACGACTATTAAAATCTCTACTGTAATTATAAATAATAAGCTTCATTACTCAAGTTTCTTTTTTTTTCTTCCATTCTTAACTAAAAGATCATTTTTATTTATAGAGAAAAAAAACCTAGTAAAATCGATTTGCAAAGAGTATGTGAATATGGAACGTGAAGATGTAACAAGACGTTTTTCAGTTGTAAGTAAATTAGCTCATTATAGTTCAAAGTTTAAACTCGATGATAATGGACAATATTCAATGCCACCACCACATAAGCAATCTCCAGTACATTCAAGAAATGATCAACGCCGTTCAATTGTATATGCAACATTGAAGTTTGTTTTATTTTTATCTTAGACTATAGAAAAATTCTAATAGATGCAAAGTTAAAACTTCAAATAACAAAATTTTTCTTACTAATAACTACTATTTTCATGCTCAGTTCAAACGTTTTCATAGCATCTAAAACTGCCTAGCATTGATGCGTGTTTCCTGATGAAGTTGTCAGATTTTATCAAAAATACAAAAGCTTCTTCTGAAATAGCAGGTGACTGGAAAGTTTTTAGACACGATGTTTATTGACGTTTGAGTCACTAAAAAAGAATTTCCGACGAATTAAAAACTATGAGTTAGAACCAGAATTTTGTGTTCTTTTCGAATATAGACCTAGAAATTTTGTCTCAGTTTTTGTTCGATAGCAGTGAAATAATCTTTGAATAGTCCAAAAAGTTAGTTTAGATGAAAATTTTTCCGTACACTGTTGTATTGTCACTGTTGTGATTCGAACCTAAAAGTTGGAATCTTTATTTATATATTAGCTTGTAGATTACAAACTATCCTACAAAATGTACTATTTGAAGTTTTTTTTTATCTTTCGACAAGGCATCTCGATTTTTGTTTTTTCTAAATGTTCATTTTTGAAAAATCAACAACAGTTTTACTCTTAGAGACGTTCTTGAGAAAAAATGTTTGTAGCCTCACTTGTATAAAAGTTACAGTTCAGTTAAATATATTCGAAAAGGGACTTAGAGGGTAAACAAAAACCTGTTGGTTCATCATTAAAAATACTTTTTAGGTCTTTCAAAAAGTTTGTCACTACTCTTGAACAAAAATAGACACAAAATTTCTAAATCCATATTTAAAACCTGATCGTGGCCTATAATTTTTTGGCTTGTCTAAAATGCTTTCAGGCAGACCAAAATGAATAAATATATTCACCGGAAACGTTGACTCACAAGTTTCGTTGAAATTAATTTTTGGACTTTTCAACGGTTATTCCACTACTCTCAAATGAAAACTGAGATCAAATTTCTAAGCCCATATTCGAAAAGAGGATCCTAATTCATAGATTTTAATTCGTCGAAAATATTTTCTAGCGAGTCAAAAATGATCAAATATTTTATCAGAATATTTTTCAATTATCTGTTAATCAGTGCCATCTATTTTGAATGTTAAAATTGAAATTAAATTGATGTTTGAGGTTTTTACCTTGTCAACATCTTTGAAAATGGTAGTTTCATTATAACTATCGATTAAACAAGTTTTGACAGTCTGAAAATAGTCTTTTGAATGTGATGATCTATTTCCTGTTTAAATAAAAGATAAAATAAAAGAAATGAGCACTACTACAGCATCAAAGACAACCGGTGGAGGTGTCGCTCATACACGCGGTGATCAAGCATTAAGGTTTATTAGTATTATTTTAATTTAATAATTCATCTATGTTCTTTATGATATAGACCAATAGAAAATAGAAAATCTCGTTATTCTCCTTTATGGCCAGAATGGAACGAAGCTGATGTTAATGCTGAATCATGGGATATTGGAAGTGGAAAAAAGAAAGATGCAGGAACAAGTAAAGCTCGTGTTGATGTAAAATCAGCTAGTTCAGCTGTAAGAAAATGAAATATAAACAATATATATATACAATAAGAGTAAACATTTTTTTTTACTAGGGTACACATGGTTTTGAAGATCCTGAAGGTAAAGTCGAACTTCCTCCAACACTTAAAGTCGATCAATGGAAAAGACCAATCGATTTTTTACCATCCGATAAAGTAAGAAAAAAAAAGCCTATAAATTGAACGAATAATTAATTTTAATCAATCGAATAGGCTCCAGTAATTGTTGATCCTGATCTTGGCATGCTAAATTTTGATTTAGTCACACCAAATGAACATTTACATTATAGTGAAGTAAGATCGTTTCGTTTTTTTTTCATGTCAATCTTCTTTTGTTTTTATTGTTTTTAATATAGACAATGCGTAATATTATTGGTCAGATTACAGCATTATGGGATATTTGTCGACAAGAACGAAAAACTTCTAATACAACACCAGAATATACAACAGAAACAAATCCAGCTGTTTTAAGTGGACGAACATGGCGTCCTTGGGTTTGTTTTTTTGTTTAGTTTTTTTGTACTTTAAATATATTAATATCTTTTCATATATCTTTAAGGAACATATATATGCATTGAATAAAGTATCAAGACAACCATTTATCACTCCATATAATCCCGCAGGCAAATATGTTGTTCGACTTTTCTTTTTGGTTTGTATCATACGAATATTAAAAGATTTTTTTTTACAAAATAGAATTGAACTCATTTTTATCTTAATAAATAATAGGGTACTTGGCGAAAGATTATTGTAGATGATATAATACCATTTGATTCTAAAAATCGATGTCTTCTACCACAAACATCATTATCATATGAACTTTGGCCTATGCTTTTATCAAAAGCTTTATTAAAAATAATTGTTCTTGAGTAAAAAAACAAAATATGTTCATGTAAAATTTTTCTATTCAAAGATGTTTTATTTTTTCAAATCATAGTTTTCGTTCATCCAGTACATATTCTGAATACAATGAAACAAGTATTATTCATTTACTTACTGGTTGGCTACCAGAACCTATTCCACTTAAGTAAGTTTATGATTAAGAAAATATTAATATATAGAATAGATCAAAAATTCTGATAACATTAAATATAAGAACATAAGAATACAGAGATATTTTTGATTTTATTTTTTTTAATTAAATTTTTAAAATAGTCGTCATAATTATTTATATAAAGTTTCATCCTTTCTAATAATTAATCAAACGTTGCTTTTAAACTCTTCTTCGGAAATATTTTTAACTATTTTGAAAACTGCACGACTCAATGATTTTCATTTGTTTGATTAGTTAAATTTCGGTTGATATAATCATTTAACCAAAAATCACATGGTGCAAGGTCTAGTGAAAATGATGTACATATGTGGCATAATGTTGGTACCTTCTTGTGTCAAATAATTAATAACATTTGAAGGATCCATGAAGTTCAAAAAATCAGAAAAAAAATTCATGACTTTCGTGAATTTTATATCAAAAATACGAAAAAAAAATGGCATTTCTGATAATAAAATGGACAAAAAGAATTGATGTTTTTCAGATTTATTGATGAAAAGCGACGTTTTAATTAAACAAATGCAGTGAATTTCATTTTTAATCAAAATGATGCAATGAAATTAATGAAAATGTGTATTTTAATCGATGAATTTGAAATACACTTATTTTTTTGTCTTTTTCATTATTTTAATGCCATGTTTTTGATTTTTAACTTCCTGGAAAATATGAAATCGAGTATTGCCATGAAGTAATTGTATATTTTTTGCACTTGATGACGTTCTTTATTTTCATATGTCATTGACAACAGGCTTGAGGCAATTTTCAAGCAATTTGTTCAAAAGTGTACGAATACAGAATGATAAAAAGTAAAATAATAAGTCTAAGTTTTAACGAAACGTTTATTGAAACAATAAAACTAGAAAATAACACATACAAAAACACGCATTCGTGAAGTGTTGTTAATAACAAATCTTATCACAAAAATTGCTCAATGTATTCATCTTCTAAGTTTTTGCAAAGTTGCAGTCTTTCAAATATCGATTGACAAGCTCGTCGGTAGAACTCCACTGACAGGCTTCGTATTTATGCAATAATAGCATCTTTGAGTGTTTCAAGAGTTTAACGTTTTGTCGTATACACACGATGTTTGAGTAAACTCCATAAGAAGTCAGTCGAAGCCAAATTCGAAGATCGTGCTAGCTAATCAATCGGTTCGCGTCGACCGATCCGTGGATTGAAAATACTTTTATCCAAGAAGTCTCGAAGGGGTGAAGGGTAATGACCTGGAGTTCTATCATACATATAAAATATTTCTGCTATATTTATTCGATATGTAATAGCAGGAATAATTTCTTTGTTCAGTTTTTCAAGATAGCTGTGAGCAGTGACTGTGTCACGAAAGAAGAACGGTCCGATGATGCCTGCAAAGAAAATTCCAAGTCATACAGTAACACCCAAAGTATTTAATTCTTCTGTGATGATTAGATGAGGGTTTTCTACAGCGTAGTAAACGCAGTTACGTTGATTGACGTACCCATTCAACATGGAAGTAGCTTCGTCAGTCCAAACAATTCGATCAATTAGCGAAGAGTCTTCAGCGACCAAGTTGAGGAAGACGTTAACAAATTCGTAGGGTCGATCGGAGTCATTTTCACTCAGGGCTTGTGGTAAGCAAGGACGATAAGATTTCATTCCTAGCTCCTTCATCATGCGTCAAAGACTGATTCTAATCAGGTTTAGTTGCAATAAAACCCTTCTTGATGACGTTTGGAGACTTTCTTGGAAAGCGGCACGAACGTGTTCTCTGTTATCGTCATTACTAACAGATCTAGATCGTCCGAATTTGAGTGCGTCTTCAACACTTCCGATTTTGTTGAACTTTCATACAAGTTTCAAAATATTTTTTCGTATTGGAGGAGTTCAATCATAATGCTTCTCAGACTGACATGTAACTTCATCTGCATTCTCGTAAACAAAATACCACTTTACAATTTCAATTCGTTCAGATAAGGTTAACCGAGAACATTTAGTCATATCAAAAAAAAATGGAAAAAATTAAGCATTATTGAGTTTGGATGGTCATTCATTGCTTATTTTTGTTCAATCATGCCACACACACGATCGTATAGAATTCTCGAATAAAAACACACAGTTAGAAATGTACATACAACCGAGAGTACAAAGAAAATTAAAAAAGCCGAATCAATAGATAAAAGAGTTAACCACTCGTGTTGTTGTCTCTCAGATGCTACTACTAGTACATATATTAGTACTAGTATAGGGGGGACAAAATAATAAATGTTATGACAGTAAAAGTGTAACTGTGAAGTATGTTACTTTACTTTGGATCATCCTGTATTCGTACACTGTTGAACAAATCACTACACCTGAGTATTAATCATATGCTACATTTTTTATAAGTATCATCTAGTATATGTGGTGTAAATATGAGATCTAACTAACCATATGAAAAGAAGAAATCGAAAAGATTCTGCATTTTCTCCCTTTGTTTTCTTACTTATGATTCACCCTGTATGCTCAGTCTTTAGATGTAGTAACTAGTTTAAATGCGTCAAATAAATCTTACTGCTTGACCATGATTGTAAGAGAAATTCGATGTTTTTCAATCTCTATAGCTTTGTCTATTTATCCCAATCTGTGAAATGAATTCGATTTAATTATATTTTGTACTAATTTAGCCTAAATGAGGTCAAAACCAATTAAACAGGATTTATTGCATAGATCAGGATAAGTAGATGACTATGGAAATCGAAAAATATCGAATTTCTCATAAAGTTACAGACGAGTAGTGAAACAGATATTTGCACGCTTTTGAACAAATCATTGCACCCAAAAGTTAATCATATACTATGTGTTTAACTAGTATCACTTAGTATAGATGATATAAAATGAGACCTAACTGACTATGTATAAAGAAAAAAAAAATCGAAAAAACTCAATGTTCTTCTTACTTTTGAGCCGTCTTGTATGAATACTATTTTATTTAAGATATACTCATGCTACAAAAGTATGGGATTTTCTTCGTAATGATCGTTCAAATAGACTTGTAACTGAAAATGATAGTGGAATAAATAAAACAGAACAACAACCGTCAAGTCCATTGCCAGTTTTTGGACCTGTACCATTATTTAAATGGCCTGATACAAAAAGTGATTCATCTGACGAATCACTTTTATTAAATGTAAATATAAAATGAAATTCTTTTGTTGTTTTCATAATTCTCTTTTGATCTTTCCTTTTTGAAAAGGATCAATCAGGTCATCCAGATGATATTGGAACAGAAAGTATGACCAAAAAATCTGATGATAAAAGTGCAAAAAAAGGTGGTGCACCAGCTAGCTTAGCAGCATCGAAAGATGCAGGTGCAAAATCAGCAACAGGAAAAGAAACTCGAACTGGTAATAATGAAAAAAATAAGAAATGTTTATTAGACATTTACAAAAAATCATTAATTTAGGTGGTGGTCCAATTGCTGGTGCAAGTAAAGATGCTAAAAAACTAGGCGGTGTTGGTCGAGGAGTTACAGCAGATGATCAAGGAACTCTTGTTGATGATCAAACAATACCTGAGGCACCAAAAATGATCGTATTTGCTACTATACCTCATTTAGAACCAACACGTATTAGTTCTTATGGTGAAACAGCAGATAGAAGTGAACGATTAAGACGTTATAATTTAAATGATACATTTTCAACATCAATGTACCTTACTTGTATTCGAGATCTTCCATTAGAACCACCGCCACCGCCTGAATATGTACCTGCATGGAAACTTATTCGGCCAAAGAAACCAAAAGTCTTACCACATGCTGAACCAGTTGGTGAGTATATTCGTTAAATAATAATATTTGTTTTATGAAACATTGACAATTTTGTTGTTTTTTTTTTCCCTTTTAGTTCCTCAAGAACCAAAACCTGATCGTTGGATTGAAATAGCTTCTCCTTATATTAATTATCCAAGTGCAAGTACTCTTAATATGTACGTAGATAGTTTTTATTTTTTGTATCATTGTATTTCATATTTAACAACTAACACAGAAAACCAACGATTCGACTTCATCCGATTGATAATCATTTCACGTAGGATTTATTATAATTTAGTTGAAATTTATGCATATTCTGTAGTTATTTGCTTTTTTATTTGCTCTTATATGCTTTTTCTGTGCTTAGATTTGACTTCTTTTTTTTTATTTTTATCTTCATTTTAAAATAAATATTTTTTATTCGAATATTATTTCTATATATGAATGTGTTATATCTATAGGAATGTACATACACCAGCTCCTGGTGTAACATCACGTTTAAGCCATTCAGCAACACAGTCAACTGCAGCTGATGTACCCGAAATAATCGAAGTTGATGAAGAAGGAGATATTGAAAGTGGTGAATCTAAACCTGAAATTGATATTGATGTTATTCAAGATGAATTAATGTCACCTAATAAAGAGGTTTGATTTTAATTGAATTCTTTTATTTTTGTATAGAAAAAAGAAATTATCACTATCGTTGTATTTTTTAGCCAAATGCATTTGGTACGCCAGAAACACCTGATGAATCTGTACGTGGTCCAGGAAGTAGACTTAAACGTGAAAAATCAGCTGATAAAAGCAAAGTAAATTTCCGTTTTTCTTAGTTCTAATTCATAAGAAAATATAAAATGATAATAATAATAGATAAATCGAAAATTAGCTGGTAGTAAATTGGATATGGCTGGTACAAAACTATCATCAGATGCTGTCTCTGTTAAAAGTCGAGGTTAAAAATTGATGATTTTTTTTTTGTATGAAATAAATCATTTTTGAAATTTATTAGGTGCTGAAAGTGAACAAAATTTGACACCACTAGATACTCATGGAACTATAAATAATATAGAACATCAAGATTCTCAATCTAAAATAAATGATGCTCATTCACATTCAAATATAATTCAACCAATTAAAAAATCTTATATAACACCAAAAATATGGATGGATTTTGATGATTTTTGTTCATGTTTTACATCAATTGTTGTTTATCATAATCCTCGTGGTTATCCACATACAGATAAACGTACAGATATTAAGGTAATATACAATATCTTTATGTCTAGTTTTTATTCATGATCAAGAAAAATAAGAAAATAGTCTACATATATATATATATTTTAGTTTGCTACATCTCAACAGGTAATTTTCGTATTGGAGCTGTTAAAAGAAATATTTATATGCTTATCGCTTATATATACATATATTTATATATATTTTTATACATATATATATATATATATATATATATATATATATTCATATTTATAGCTATATATCAATCAAGCTATTTCTTTCAAAAATATGTTTCCATGCTGTAAAATTTCTACTTGTATGAAAGAGTGTCACAAATTCACTAAAATTACGTTTTGATCAGGAAAAGCTTTATTTACACATGTTTAAATGGCATCTAAACACAGCTTTTGCAACGAATAATATAGATATGAATGCTTCAATGCTTGTCAAACAGTGATATAAATATATATATATATATATATATAGACATGAGAAAAATGGTCCCACTTCTGGCCTTCATCGAACTGGAGTAGGAAGTGAGATGGAAAAGGCTCGTCTCGCTCTTTACTAGATTTGTAGTGATGCAACAGAGAGAGACTGACGAGCGAACCTTTTTAGTTGTTTCCTTCCGATTCAATGACTTTTTTTATGTCTGTAGATATTATATAGTGTTCTAATAAAAATTCTAAAAGGATATGAGTTCGTATTTGATATTTGACTATCTATTCTAGAGACGTCAGGCTGCCGGAAAACTCGTATTTTCGAATTTTGATCTGAAACTTTATACATATAAAGAACTCAATTAGAATCGCTTTCGGAAAAAAAAATTTCAGAAGTTTTAAACAAAATCTTTTCCATAGATAGTCTATACAATATGCAGTTTTTCAAAACTTCACATCGTCGAAAAGATTTTGTTTAAAACTTCTGAATTTTTTCATATGGAAGTTAGTCTAGTTGAGTTCTCTGTTATGCACAAAGTTTCAGATCAAAAGTCGAAAATACAAGTTTTTCGAAAATATCTATAGATAAAAAAAATCATTGAAAAAGGAAGAGGCAGCTGAAAATGTTCTCTCGTGAACCACCTGGGAAAGTTTAGAAGCTATTGCTAGCAGTGATCGTACAGGAAATCTGAGAAAACTCAGCTCCCTGATTAAAAATTTAAGCGCTGTTGTCAGCTTAGAAATACAATATTGATAATATTATTTTTCTAGAAGAAAATTTTCTTTAAATGTAGTTTGTTTTTTTTTTTTCTTCTAAGATCATTTTCGACAAGCTCTTGCCTAATAAAAAGAGATTAAATCAAACAAAAAGAAATGTTTCATAAATTTTTATCTTCTTAAGATTTGATACTACAGAATATTACAAGGTAACAAAAAGCTAATTTCAATGATAAAACCCCTTCCTATTTAACTATTAATTTCTAATAGAAAAATTTTTTCTTCTATCCCTTTAAACATAATTGAATTAAACTACGATATAACCTATTCTTTTTTTTTTTTTTTTTTTTTTTTTTACTAAATATATAATCATATTTATTTTGTTTTAGCCAAGTGTTGCATCTGCAATAAAAGACAAGAAAAAAGAATCAAATCAACCTGTAACTCAACAATTACCAGTAAGTTTATTTATCTATCATATTCATTAATATTTTATGTTATTTCATTATTATTTATTAATAGAATTTACAAGATGAGAAATCACCATTATATTTATTTGTTGATAGTACACGTGAAAGATTAGATAAAAATATTGAATTAATTGTTGGTTTAACATCTTTGTCACGATGGCTTGAATCTGGTTCAACAGAAGGTGTAAGTTCATTGGGTGCAACGCTGCCAACAACAAATGAAAAAGTTGGTCGAGGTGCAGGTGTATCAACTGATAAAACATCTACAGAAATTAGTCCAATAAGAGGCGCAGGAGGTAGACGACGAACAAGTACTATGGATACACTTCCACAAACACCAGGTCCACATGTTAGTTTACAAGATGGAAGTATTGTTGAAAGTAATGAATATTATTTAAATAAGAAAAAAAACAAACAAAGGAATTATTTTTCTATACCATATATAAATAGTGTCACAAAAAGAAATTATACCACAACCAAGTTCACTTATTGCTGAGATTTATTCTTGGAAATCACCTTCAATGGGTCAACCTATTCTTCGTCTTCATACAACAACTACTAAAGCATCTTTTCTCTCATTACCACCGGGGTAAATATTTCAAATATTTATTTATTTTGAAAAAAAAATAAACGACACAAATTATTTAATTTTTCTAGACGACATGTATTAAAATTTAGTGTTACATGTCCATTAGGTTATCATCTTCAAGTTATGTCTGATACGAATGAGCTTATACTTGGTGATGAAGATCAATTATTATCTAAAATTATTTCAGTACCGGTATGTTTAAAAATTTAGTTTTTTTTTCTTTCTTGTAATTATTTATCTTATATTCATTTGAAGGAAGATGCTGAATTTATAACATGTGCTGAAGAATTATTTCATGCATTTGATGATGCTGTACAAAATTTTAATGATATGGATCAACAAGATGTTAAACTTAATGAATTATTTCGTTCATATTGTGAATATGCAGCACCATACTTTAATCTTACTATTCAAACATGTTGGAATGTATTTAATCAAGCACTTTATTCAACTTTACGTATAATATGTAATGGATATGGACAACCGCTTAATGCAGAAACTCAATTTGCTTGGAGATGTTTTACAAATGATTTGATAACACCAGATATAATGGGTGTGTATGAAGCAAGAAGACCTAGTAAAACTATGGATTATTTAATTGTCAATGCTATCATATTAATATCTTCTTTTTTGAGGTACTTCAGGTGTCAGTCGTAATTCAGCACGAGCTAGTAATGCACCAGGTGCAGGTGGAACTGCTACTGCCACAACAGGAGCACCAGCTACGAGTAAAAAAGGTGGTGGTGGTGGTGGTGGAGGAGGAAAGGATAAAAGTACTGATGATAAAGCTGCAAGCAAACAACCTGCACAATTAAATACTTCATTATCCACGGCAGAATTTCAAGGTAAATTTTTCATCTACGGATATATATACAGTTATGGTCAAAAATATAAGATCAACGTATATTTTGATTTGTTTATAAAATACTAAATATTTAACTCAAATTCAAATACGGTGTAACTTCTTTATAGTGAATACTCTTCGAACTTTTCAAAAGTGTTCACTAGAAATAGACACATTTTCTAGATACCTGTCAGGGTATTAATAAACAGAATAACTGATTATTGCTCATTTTTACTTCTCTTTTTCTTCTTGAAAAATTAAGTGTTATTAAAATATAGTAAAATTTTCCTATCATGAACATTATCAAGACTTTTCGAAAGCATCCATCATAGAATTATATGACCGTGTCCATTTCTAGCAAAAATCACTTCGTCAGACGGCGAAAGATCCACTATGGGCGGTTTTACTATAATGGTTTGAATAGCAAATCAAGTTCTCTATTAAATACATTTCATACATGGACTATGAGAGAAATGTTTCTCAGACATCAGACACGATACTTTTTAGGTCCCAGAAAAGTGTATGAGCATTAGTTTTTAAGAGTAGCGTCATCTTAAGAAACATAAGACATTGATTAAAATGAGGAGTCATCACATTTTGAAAGATATTCCCGTAAAAAGTTATAAGCCTCATAAAGCAAAATTTATTCTAGCATTATCTAAAAATGTACATTTTTGTTTTTTGTAATGCTTGTAACTTTTTAAGAAAAGGTCGTAGGAAATGCGGCGACTCCTTATTTTATTCAAAATTTTGTGTTCTTTAAGATAGTACTCTTAAAAACTAATTTTCACACAGTCTTCTAAGACTTGAAAGTTACCATGTTTCATTTCTGAAACATCTTCTCATAATCTATCAATGGAAAACATTTGATAGAAAACTTAATTGGCTAGTTCATCTATTATTCAGATTTGAATTTAAATGCTTAGTATCATGGAAAAAAACAACTGCATTGATCTTATATTTTTATATTTGAAATTTTAGAAGAATCAATACCTGATTGGCTTAGTCATGATTTATCAATAAATGAAATGGAATCTATTATAAATATTCAAAAAGTTGCTCGAGGATTTTTACAACGACGTTTATTACTTGCTCGTACACCTGGTACAGAAAAAAATTTTCTTACACAACGAGCATTACAATCAACAATGACAATACTCAAAGCTGAAGCACCGAAATCAGCTTTAACTCTTTTCCGGTAGATTTGTATTTTAATTCAAAATTAAATTTATGTTGTTTCTTTTGTAACAAAAAAAACAGAAATCTAATGATAAGCACACAACAATTAATACAATGTTTTCCATTTGGTAAGGATGATTGGAATATGGTTTCACACAAAGATTATGGTGGACAATATCCAGAACAACCAGCAAATACTTGGTTTACTATATTTCGGTATATTATAAGATTATTTTAAATAAAATAAGATTTTCTGTGCTTTGTTTTTTCTTTTTTTCTAGAGAAATTTTTTATGTTACTGAAGAAGGCTTTGTTTCTGGTAAATTTCTTGCTCATGTACAAAATTCATTATTACGTGTTATTAATAATGATACATATGATGAAATGACACTTGTCTTTAATCGATTAGCACCATCAATGTTTACAAAAAATAAAGTAAAATTAAATATTCTATTTACAAGAAAAAAAAAACAAACAAAAGAAATTCATTATTTTTTTTTTTCTTTCTTATTTTAATTCATAGTTTGGTTATACATTTTTTGCTGAAGGAATATCATTTGATCAACCAATACCAACTGGTCGTTTTCGTCTACGTCTATTAACATCTTATACACATTTACCTGAACCACGTGTTGTTGATCAAATAACATCATCATTTATAACAAAAGAAATTAAAGATTATTATGTTCCAAATAAACAACAAACTATATGCAGGTAAAAATATTATCATAAAATAAACAAAAATAAAAGAAATTTCTTCTTTTTAAAGATATCGTGTAACTGTTGCTGATGATGTCAATCAAACTGGTCGTAATTTTCACTTAGCTAGTATTCAATTTAGTACATCAAAATCTGATGTTTTAATACGTTTAACTATATTAAATAATAACGATGAAGTTGTTAGTGTTGAAGGCAAAGGCAGTGTTGTTTTACCTGCATTTTTATTTATGCGAGATGTTACTAATGTAGCAAGTAATATCGCACAAGCACTGCCACTAACTCAACCATTGTCAAGACCACCATCAAAAACAGGTGGTTATTTGATTATATGAATATCATTAGTAGAGAAATAATATTTTGTTTTTTTCTAAAGGAACAACTAAAAAAGATTCTAATAAGCCTGCTGCTGGTAATACACATCGAGGAAGTGTTGTTGAATCATCAACT